CATTGATCATTTCTAACATTCTGTTCCACAAACACAAAGTTGTGTGTGTTTTTTCCTAATGGGGGGGGGGGGGGGGGGGGGGGGGGGGGATCCTTGAGTTTAGGATGCTTGTTTACAGCTTCCATTAGCCAAGCCCACTTAGCAGGCAGCAGGGGTGTTGTCAGGAAGTTCAGCTTTAACGACATCTTCCTTTGAAGAAAAGACTTCTTGCAGCCTCTGTGCAACCAAGGACGTTTAAGTGTCACATTGTAGTACGAGTCAAGTAGTCCTGACTACGTCGACGCTCTAGCCCCTTTCTCACTTTTTTTCCATCTTTTGTTTACATTTAAAGGTCTGGAAGCTATCCATCATTTCTCATCACCTGCAGAAATAGGTTCCTCTATGACAGTTGCCATTGTTTGTGCCAGTGATGATATCTGGTGTAGAACTCACAACACAAGAATTCCCCTCTTATCTTCCCTTATAGAGCTTCTGCAAGAGTAAGATATTTACATAAAGTCAGAAGGTCCAAAATAGATCACAGACACAAGTGCTCAAGTTCAATGAACACCTCCAACCATACTCAACCCCAGACCACCACCACTCAATACGACACACACCCCCACCAAAAAACCCACGTCAAGACCTCGTGTATGTGTGTTAAAAATATGGTACATATAAGATTTATAATGGATGTACAAGGCGAGGGTCTAACACCCTTATCACAAATTACAAAGATGAAAAGAGAGAGAGAGAGACAAAGTAGGTAATATTGAGTATAAAATTAGAATTCTGACATACATCACATTAAACAAGAGGTTCAAATTCAATGATAACTTCCACTTGAGTTAGTTCAGGCTACTGCCATCTAATGTACCTTACTGAAATAATAATGTAGCAGACATCACAATGAATGCTGAAGACAACCTCTTACCCCAACCTAACCAGATAACTGCTGTGGCATATGGGCGCTTGGCAAATGTGAGAATAGCGTTCCAGTACCTCAGTAAGGAATCATTGAAGACTGTATACACTGTGTACGTCAGGCCCATACTGGAGTACGCAGCACCAGTTTGGAACCCACACTTGGTCAAACACGTCAAGAAATTAGAGAAAGTGCATAGGTTTGCAACAAGGCTAGTTCCAGGGCTAAGGGGAATGTCCTATGAAGAAAGGTTAAGGGAAATCTTTGACAATACTTGGAGGACAGGGGTCAGTGGGAGACATGATAATACCATTCAAAATACTGCGTGGAATAAACAAGGTGCACAGAGACAGGATGTTCCAGAGATGGGACACACAAACAAGGGGTCACAGTTGGAAGCTGAAGACTCAGATGAGTCAAAGGGATGTTAGGAAGTATTTCTTCAGTCATAGAGTTGTCAGAAAGTGAAATAGTCAAGCAAGTGATGAAGTGGATGCAGGAACCATACATAGCTTTAAGATGAGGTATAATAAAGCTCATGGAGCAGGGAGAGAGAGGACCTAATAGCGTTCAGTGCTGAGGCAGGGCCAGGAGCTGTCTCGACCCCTGCAACCAGATAGGCGAGTACGTACACACACACACACACACACACACACACACACACCACACACACACACACACACACCACACACCCACACACACACACACACACACACACACCCACACACCACACACTCACACACACACACACACACACACATCAACACACACACACACCACAACACACACACACACACACACACACAACACACACAAACACACACACACACACACACACACACACACACACACACACACACCGTAACGTGACGCCGTACGTAAGGAACACTACAAGAGAAGAGAGGAGAGGATGAACCAGCAAGGCTGGACTTAGTTATTCACCTTGATAGTGGCAGATATCAAGAGAGGACATTTCCCACATAAGAAAATACCCCTTGGGGGGCCAGTGACCATGGTGGTTTTAAGCTTCGAATACACGTAAGCAGCTACAAGTGGAGGGAGAAAGCAGGAAGGCCAGGACGAATGAAGTTCCAAACTACAAGAAATGGTCCTACACAGAATAAAGGAACTTCCTGGAACGGGTTTCAGTGGGAACAGAGAACTGGCAGGGAAGCCAGTTAATGAGATGATGGAATATGTAGCAACAAAATGCAAGGAGGCTGAGGAGAGGTTTGTACCCAAGGGTAACAGGAATAATGAAAAAGCCAGGATGAGCCCATGGTTTACCCAAAGGTGCAGGGAGGCAAAAACCAAGTGTGCTAGAGAATGGAAGAAATATAGAAGGCAAAGGACCCAGGAGAATAAGGAGAGCAGTCGTAGAGCCAGAAACGAATATGCACAGATAAGAAGGGATGAATGTTGTGATGAATGTTGCAGCGAGGGGAAGGCTTGAGGCAGTGGAGATGTCATGTCTGAGGGCAATGTGTGGTGTGAATATAATGCAGAGAATTCGTAGTTTGGAAGTTAGGAGGAGGTGCGGGATTACCAAAACTGTTGTCCAGAGGGCTGAGGAAGGGTTATTGAGGTGGTTCGGACATGTAGAGAGAATGGAGCGAAACAGAATGACTTCAAGAGTGTATCAGTCTGTAGTGGAAGGAAGGCGGGGTAAGGGTCGGCCTAGGAAAGGTTGGAGGGAGGGGGTAAAGGAGGTTTTGTGTGCGCGGGGCTTGGACTTCCAGCAGGCATGCCGTGAGCGTGTTTGATAGAGTGAATGTAGACAAATGGTTTTAATACATTGACGTGCTGTTTGGAGTGTGAGCAAAGTAACATTATGAAGGGGTTCAGGGAAGCCGGCAGTCCGGACCTTGAGTCCTGGAAGATGGGAAGTACATTGCCTGCACTCCTGAAGGATGGGTGTTAATGTTGCAAGTTTAAAAACTGTAGTTGTAAAGCACCCTTCCGGCAAGACAGTGTATGGAGTGAATGATGGTGATAGTTTTTTCTTTTTTCGGGCCACCCTGCCTTGGTGGGGGAATCGCACAGTGTGAAAATAAGATAAATAAAAGAAGGGAAGCCCAAAGACAATATAAAATGAAATAGCAGCAAAGCCAAATCCTGACCCGAAACTGTTGTACAGCCCTAACAGGAGGAAAAACAACAGTCCCAAGGACCAGGTAAAGCAGCTAAGGAAGGAAGGAGGATAGACAAAAAGAAATGAACCAGAAGTATGTGAGGAACTCAACGAAGAGATTCAAAGAAGTGTTCACAGAGAGACAGAAGGGGCCCAGAAAGACGGCAGAGGTTGGGCACACCAACCATGTGGCTGGACACAGTGCACAAAACCGAAGAAGAAGTAGAAGAGGCTTCTGAGTGAGCTAGATAACCTCAAAGGCTATGGGGCCAGATAAACATCTCCCCATGGGTATTTGAGAGAAGGAAGCAGAGGCACTATGTGTACCCCTAACAACAATATTCAATACATCTATCGAAACGGGGAGATTGACTGAGCAAGGAAATACAACAAATGTAGTCCCCAATCTTTAAAAAAAAAAGGAGACCATACATGAGCATTAAACTACAGACCAGTGTCACTGACATGCATAGTAAGCAAAATCATGAGAAGTTTATCAGAAGAGTGGTGGAACACCAGAAAGGAATGAACCTCATCAACAGCGAGCCAACGTGGATTCAGGGACGGGAAATCCTGTGACTCAATCCATACTGGAGTTCTATGAACATGGTGACAGCAGTAAGACAAAAGAGAGAGAAAGGGTGGGTGGATTGCATTTTCCTGGGCTGCAAGAAGGCGTTTGACACAGTTTTCCACACAAGAGTTGGGGGTGCAAAAACTGAGGACTAAGCAGTGATAACAGGGAAAGGCACTACAGAGTGGATCAGGAATACTTGTCATGAAGACAGCAGCGAGTCCCATCGGGACGTGGTGAGGTGTCCCAGTGGGGCACCTGTGACCAGCCAGGTCCCACAGGGGTCCAGTCCTAGGACCAGTGCTGTTTCTGGTATTTGTGACGACTTACGAAGGAATAGACTCCAAAGTGTCCCCGTTTATTGCCCAGATGAGTGAAAGCTGATGAGAAGAAATCATTCAATCGAAGACAGGCAGAACTACAAGGATCTGACAAGGCTGCAGGACCTGGTCCAGCAATTCCGTTGTCGTGGAGTTTCAAACCCCCCAAATGAAAGTCATGAAGATTGGGGAAGGGCAAAGAAGACCCGAAGACCTCCGGAGTAGCAGTCTTAAGGAGCCAGAGACTACAAACCTCACTCAAGGAAAAAGATCTTGGGGTGATATAACACCAGGCACATCTTCCTGAAGTCACATACAACCAAATAACTGCTGCAGGCATATGGTGCCTAGCAAACCTCAGAACAGCATTCCGACATCTTATAAGAAGATTGTTCAGGACCGTACACCGTGTACGTTAGGCCCATATTGGAGTATGCGGCAAACCATTTGGAACCCACACCTAGCAAGCACGTAAAGAAACTGAGAAAGTGCAAAGATTTCAACAAGACTAGTTCCAGAGCTAAGAGGTATGTCCTACTACGAGGGAGAGGTTAAGGGATATCAACCTGACCCGACACGGAGACAGGAGAGAGAGGGGGGACATGTTAAACGACATACAAAATAACTGAGAGGAAGTTGAACAAGGTGGACAAAGGCAAGGAAGTTCCAGAGATAGGACACAGCTAACAAGGGGACACAGTTTTGGAATTGAAGATACAGATGAATCCAGGGATGTTAGGAATTATTTCTTCAGCCACAGAGTAGTCAGGAAGTGAATAGTTTGGGAAGCGATGTAGTGGAGGCAGGATCCATACATAGCTTTAAGCAGAGGTAAGATAAAGCTTCACGTTCAGGAGTGTGGGGGGGGGGGGGGGGGGGGTGAGCTAGTGCGACCATTGAAAGGCGGGGCCAGGAGCTTGGACTTGACCCCTGCAACCTCAACTAGGTGAGCGCACGCACACGCGTGAGAGGGAACTGAAGGTATGGTATACCAGCACTGATGGAATAACAAATGAGTGGGAGGAGTGGCACGAAAGATATATACTATGTACATACATATTTTATTTGTAGATCTCTAGCAGCCATGGTGGACAGCTGGATGAGCCTAGAACACATCTTGAAAATGGGAGTGCATCATACTTGGCAGACAGCATCCCAGCTTCAACAGTACCTTCTCTGCAGCCCTGGCCTGGCCGGTATTCCTTCTCCATCTCTGTTCCCACTGATAACAAGGACCGCAACAAGGTATACATTTACAAAATGAATGATAATTTTTAAGTGTTTTAGCTGTTAATATTGTATAAAACTATTTAAATTTAATTTTTGTCATTGTCCTTGCTACTGATAGCTTTCATCTTGTCAAAGTGATCATTTCTAGCTAGCAATCTACTGCTTTTTTGACACACATAAGTAAGAAACTGTATTGGACAACAAATTGGAATTGACCCATATTTAACCCATCAGATTTGAAGTAGGATAGGATGAAAATTATTATTATTATCATCACGCTGGCCGATTCCCACCAAGGCAGGGTGGCCCGAAAAAGAAAAACTTTCACCATCATTCACTCCATCACTGTCTTGCCGGAAGGGTGCTTTACACTACAGTTTTTAAACTGCAACATTAACACCCCTCCTTCAGAGTGCAGGCACTGTACTTCCCATCTCCAGGACTCAAGTCCGGACTGCCGGTTTCCCTGAATCCCTTCATAAATGTTACTTTGCTCACACTCCAACAGCACATCAAATATTAAAAACCATTTGTCTCCATTCACTCCTATCAAACACGCTCATGCATGCCTGCTGGAAGTCCAAGCCCCGCGCACACAAAACCTCCTTTACCCCCTCCCTCCAACCTTTCCTAGGCCGACCCTTACCCCGCCTTCCTTCCACTACAGACTGATACATTCTTGAAGTCATTCTGTTTCGCTCCATTCTCTCTACATGTCCAAACCACCTCAACAACCCTTCCTCAGCCCTCTGGACAACAGTTTTGGTAATCCCGCACCTCCTCCTAACTTCCAAACTACGAATTCTCTGCATTATATTCACACCACACATTGCCCTCAGACATGACATCTCCACTGCCTCCAGCCTTCTCCTCGCTGCAACATTCGTCACCCATGCTTCACACCCATATAAGAGCGTTGGTAAAACTATACTCTCATACATTCCCCTCTTTGCCTCCAAGGACAAAGTTCTTTGTCTCCACAGATTCCTAAGTGCACCACTCACCCTTTTCCCCTCATCAGTTCTATGATTCACCTCATCTTTCATAGACCCATCCGCTGACACGTCCACTCCCAAATATCTGAATACATTCACCTCCTCCATACTCTCTCCCTCCAATCTGATATCCAATCTTTCTTCACCTAATCTTTTTGTTATCCTCATAACCTTACTCTTTCCTGTATTCACTTTTAATTTTCTTCTTTTGCACACCCTACCAAATTCATCCACCAATCTCTGCAACTTCTCTTCAGAATCTCCCAAGAGCACAGTGTCATCAGCAAAGAGCAACTGTGACAACTCCCACTTTATGTGTGATTCTTTATCTTTTAACTCCACGCCTCTTGCCAAGACCCTCGCATTTACTTCTCTTACAACCCCATCTATAAATATATTAAACAACCACGGTGACCTCGCACATCCTTGTCTAAGGCCTACTTTTACTGGGAAATAATTTCCCTCTTTCCTACATACTCTAACTTGAGCCTCACTATCCTCGTAAAAACTCTTCACTGCTTTCAGTAACCTACCTCCTACACCATACACCTGCAACATCTGCCACATTGCCCCCCTATCCACCCTGTCATACGCCTTTTCCAAATCCATAAATGCCACAAAGACCTCTTTAGCCTTATCTAAATACTGTTCACTTATATGTTTCACTGTAAACATCTGGTCCACACACCCCTACCTTTCCTAAAGCCTCCTTGTTTATCTGCTATCCTATTCTCCGTCTTACTCGTCTGTGTTGTAGTCATTAGTAACTTGAATTTACAGCATACTTATGTCCTACAGGTTTGGGTAACCACATTAATTTCTTAAGCCATTACTCACTCCAAGTTAAATGAAGTGCAGTCTCCAGCCTTTTCCTTGTAGCATTGGCATTTGTAGCTCAAGTAAATTAGACCAAAAAAAAAACAAAAAAAAAAAATTGTTAGGCATGATTCTCATTACTGAGCTACCTGGACTGTGGTATTCAGTTGGAGGCTTAGTAAAAAAAGTAAAACACAAACAACCAAGTACCTTTAGGGAACTTAGCAACACTAAATTAGTTTTTCCTTTCCATCAAGGTTTTTCAGATAAGTTTGAAAATGTCACTGATATAGGTCTCTTGCCCTGAAATTGGTAATTATTTTCCAAAAATCAAAAGCAGTCAGTCACATCTGAAACACCAGGTTTGATCACTGGGAGTTGCTGGCTGTCAGAGTGTAGTTGATCACTACAAATTCCATAACTACAGTAGGTAGCAGGTGCAGGTTTGTAAGCAATCTTAAATGTGAACTGACTGAAAAAACTGCTTTGAACTGTCACCTAACAAATCTTTTGTTTTGAGTGTCTGAATT